TTTCCAGCTGTCTTAACCTTCACACACATAAATCTTATATTTCAATATTTTGTTCTGAAGAAATATTAATTTTCTCACACTGAAAAAAAAAAAAAAATAATAAAATATTTAAATCCTGCTTGAATTCCTCCTGTGTAGTAACACATGGGCTATAATGCTGCTCAGATTCCCAAGTCATCATTTAGATTTACTTGGCCTTCAGGTCATAATAGTCTACAGAGTCAATAGAGTCAAAAGAGTCTATTCCCCCTTAACACATTGCCAATATGTAACAAATTGCCTAAATTACAAGATTTACTCACCAGAGAGACTAATAATTTACACTAGCATCTTTTGCAACACAAGACTCTTTCAAATCCAAGAAAGCTGCAGGAATCAAGCTGGGACGTTTCAGAGAGTAAAAAAATTGCAAAGAATAGGCAGCAGCAGGACTACACGGAACCAGTACACACCAGCAAACTGGACAGAAGTAAACCTTGACTGGGGCAGTATTTGTAATATTGGAGTAAAACTCAACTATGCAAGGTGCGCAGTGTTCCCCTCCTGACCAACCACACCTTTTCAATCTCGCTCACATTTACAAATATGAAGCTGCAGTTTGATTGCGCAGATGATAAAATAGTAAATGGCATTGAAAGGAGAGATCCTGGTATTTGCCCTTTTGCCAGGAGCTCACCTGACCTCTACAAACCAATTTTCAGCTGGTTCAAGTCTAAGGTAAGAGGAGAAAGAGCACTGGTGAAAAAGAAGTTGGGAACACGCATGCAGTGAAGCTTTCAATAGCAGGTATGCATTAAATCAGCTTAGCTTAATGTTAAACTGCAGCTCTTGGTACTGTTGACTTAGAAAACAACCAAAGGAAAAGGCGGATGAAGGTACATATTAACAAAGTGCCTATCAGCTAAATAGGGGAAAAAAAAAAAAAAATCTACTGTTTGATTAATGGCTATTGCAAGCATGGCATGGAAAAGAAATGCTAAGATGTAAAAGAAAGGAAAAGAAGAGTCAAAACTTAAGCAGGTGGGGGGAGGAAGGGGGTGGGGAGGGGAGGACAACCCAGAAAAAACCCGACCCACAGCATTTTGTGAATAGTGCTAATATAAGGAAGTTATTAAAATTACAGGTGACACTCAGTTGTAGGTAACTTTACATAAAACAAGGACTGGACTTTAAACTACTTTGACCTGTGTGTGTTGAAGCTTTTCAGGAGTGTGTGATTAGAAACAACTATGGTTCCTTTCCATCATAATGTGCCTTCATGAATGACCACATCGCTTGCTTTCTCACCATAGCTTTTCCTGCACTATGGAGTCTCTCTACAGGGAATTTACAAAAGCCCAAGACTCCCACGAGCCAAAATGAGTTTAAGAGCCTTATAGAAACACTGGTGCAACCCAGAACCTAACAGAAGATTAATAAAATTTTTTTTATGCTTTCATACCACTTGTAGAAGGTTTTTTTTAAGACCACAAAGTGATTGCCTTGTAACAGTATATTGTTTAAACACCTGCCTTAAGTTGCATTAGCTCCTGTAGCGGTCACACCACCATTTATGTCCTTGAAAGCTTGAATTGTCTGACCCAGGTGGGACAGACCTGGCAATCCCTGAGCACTGAGCAGGGTAGCACCAGTAGAGTGAACACTGAGGGAAGGATAAGCAGAAGCTATTGGAAAGATGCCACATTCAGCTAAAGGTATGCATCTAGCAGAAGTTTGAGATGGTTTCTGTGGCTTTATGCCTATCTTACCAGTTATGATTAACCTTTCCTCAAAGATGCCCCCCACCCCCATTTAAAGTAGTAAGGCCACTCTTTTCTGCAACCCTTGTCTATACAGGTTATAAAATTGCAGAATTAAAATATAATAGGAAGGATTTTTGCTTCATAAACATGCCCTTATTAATTAAAATTCAAGTGGGAAGGGATCATCTCCTGGAGAGGCATGTCTCTCTCCCTTGAGTGCAGACTGAGCTATAATGAATAGCCCCACGTCTCAATTTTTATTAGCATGACAGTGATGATGAGGTTAGAGATGATCAATCTTATTCTCAATGCCCACCTCTCTCCTGTGCCCTGCCTGACCCAGTCTAATGGAGTAGATCTTCCATTCTTCTGGGCAGAGAGCACAATAGTACAACAAGTCTTTGTCCAGGCACCACAGGGTAAGACAAGTTGCATTCACGTTTGCATACAAACTCAGCAAGCTGCACATCTTTATGATTGTTTATCCCAAGCGGATTTCTGAGGGAGTGATACACTGTCTTATTAAAAATCTCAAACATTTACAGAGTGTATTGCAAATGTCATAATCACCAAAGGGAAAGGGCTCAAAAAAATTTTTTTTTAATTAAAAAAACCCAAACACCCCAAAACGACAGCAGAACCTACTTTGTTGCCCTCTGACAATTTTTAGGAGAGCTGATATAATTACATTCATTTGCAGTACATACAGCAGAGATTTCAAAACTTGTGTTGAGAATCCCTGTGAAGAGTAGTATTTTTCTGCTGTTTCCTACGCTCTCTCACCACAAACACTGGCTGGAAACCTGCGAGGTGAATATGAGACAGCAACGTGGAGGAGGGAGTGCAGCTCACTTTACCTGTCTCCCTCATTCCTGACAAATTCCCAGCACTGACACCTTCCAGCACTCGCCGACGGTGTCACACAAGAAGGACTCTCCCGCCTCAGCTCACAGCCAGATACAAAAGCTGGTGTTGCAAAGCGGATTCCCCCAAACCATCTCCATTCCTGTCACGCTGGGAATGCTGTCGGTTCCACTCTCACCTTGAGCTACACCCCCCCAGCTCCAACTGCACCGATTCTGGGCTGCCAGGCAAAGATGCCAAGAAATATCTCTGTGTTCCTACATCCGTCCCCGCTCCTATTTCAGTTGACTATAATTTCTGAAAGGTAGAACAACCTTAATTGACAAGGGCCAAGGTGGAGATTGCCTGCTCATCCATAATGCAGAGCTACAGACTAAAAAAAGACAGGCTCCAAACACTCCAGTCTTGGCACAGGTGAAGTATTTATTGGAATAGTGCTTCTGCAGCAAAACTCAGATCCCAGCAATACCAAGATGAACTGATTTCATCTCAGAAGAAAAGACTCCAGTCATAGGTATGACTTCAAACTAACACGCTGCTAAATTTGCATTTAATTCATGCATTTTCTTATAAAATATCTTCACTTAAAAGGTCACTTAATTATTCTTGCCTAATTTCCAGAAAGAAAAAACCCACAAATATACAACCGACTGAACTATATATTGGATTTCTACACAGCAAAATACACAAAAATGAAAAACGATTATGTAAAAAAAACAAAACAAATTGCAAATAAACAGAACAGTCATTTTGTCGCAACAGCTTTATAGATGTTTAGAAAGTTGGTAGATAACAATTTGATAATTAATAGTCCATGTGCTCTCTAAATAACTCCTATAGCATCGTCCTTACTCATTGCTTCAGAGTACCAGGCTGGGTAATCTTCCCTGATCCTCTCCTTTGCCTTTGTAACCTTCTGCCATTTCTCACATGCATTTTTTCATATTCTTCAGTAGGGAACTCAGTTTCATACTTATTTCAGTTCTTCCTTCAAATATCTAATTTTTTTTCTCTGGTATCCTCATTAAGAACCTGACTTCTTTTAAACGTGTAGTACACTGAGATACACAGATAACGTACTAAGACCCCTGCCTGTTCTGTGAGCAATGTTGCCTCACTGTACCCTTGCACTCTCTCATTCATTTGTGTCTACCTGGAGCATCTTATCCTAATGTTTAAATCACAGGTTTTCTGTGCAGAGCATATTTCCTCACTCTATGTTTTGTGCACTTTGAACAACCATTGAACAACCACTGCAGCCCAAGAATTAGGAGACACAAATTAAAACAGCAAGGAAAAAGACAGTAACTGTACTAAAGTCTGCGGTACATCAAACAGGAGTATTTTGGAGTTGGAAAAGTGCTGTAGTGGGCCTAAATGAGACAGATTCTGAACCTTTATGTATTCTTCTATTAGTCTACTAAGCCTAAGTGTAAATTATGCATGCTTTTTGTATCTAATGGCTGGGAAGCTGAGTTCAGATATCCCAAACTGAGAAACAATAAATGGAAGGAAAAGCCACGAGATGATAAAGTTTCCAGACTTAGAAGATGCAGAAGGGGGCAGCAGGGGTTCTTATAAGCTTTGTTGAAGTCAGCAGAAGCTGGTGTGTAAAGAAAGGAAGAGATCAGGATTTATGATTAAGTTTAAAAGTTAACAGGTGTGAAACCTACAGCCACACTCACATTTTGTTTCTAGTCAATAGCACCATTTGAACAAAAATATGCATTCTCAAGGCAAGCTTTTAGTTGTAGCATTTAGGCATATAACTTCTAAAACAAAATTAAAACAGTAACTTTATTTAATAATGCTTTATTATAAGAACTTTAAAAAAAAAAGAAAACTCAATAAATACTACGAAGATATCCTGTGATATGTTATCTAAAAGGTCACCAACTTCAGCACTAATAATTCGCTCATTGCCTTATGAACTCTTCAATGCTTAACCATGTAATGAGCTACAGTTCTCCTTTGAAGACAGCAAGTATTGATAAACTAATAAACATTAGTTTATCAGTACAGCTGATCTACCTGTAGACTTCAGAGCTGAGAAGAGGATGGATTAAATTTCTATTCTCTTTCTATGAGAAAACTGCTGCCCAATCAGGTCATGTGGGAGAAAGAGAACCAAAGTCACATAATCTTCAATTCAGTGTCCTGTCCCATGGATCCGCCTTCATAATACCAGCTGCTTTTAAACACCACTATAATGCTAAACCAAAGGATTCATATAATCAGAGCCCTTCAGATACACTACAAATCTTTTCCAGTAAATAAATTTAGAACAGCTATTAAACTTCAGAAATTCTGTCCTGACTGTGTACTACAGTAAAAAACAGGAACCTCCATTTGTGAATGGATGGCAGAAGGCTCCAGCCCGAGTCAGCCTCTTACCTTGAAGCCGTTGCATGACATTGGCGATATCTCTAGATCTTGCCCCTAATCGGGATGAGGCCATGATGTCTTTGCAGCGTGTCCACTTCCTGTGACAGAAGTCTTGATGAGGATCTCAGACGGCTTCCTTCAGCGTGCAGCCCTCAGCCCTGGCACACCATGCCTGGGGCACTCAGATGCCTCCAGTCCAAAACCAGCCCTCGCAGGGCCGGGGGACAGCACTGGTGAGAAATCTCAGCACCTGAGAAAGAAAACACCAAGGCTTAGAGGAAACTTCCACCATCTCTGCAAGATTAAGAACCCTGGGTCTTAATAGCTATTTTAACACGTAAAGAGTGGTATGTTCTGTGCATACTGTACACCCCAGCCAGAGACACAATTAATGCTGAAAGCTTGCTTGGCAATCATCAGCAGAATGAAGCTGCAAAAACAAATCATTAAAAAAAACCTGGCAATGCACCAGAAATCAATGCTTTCCTGAGGATGCTTGTGGATGTTGTTTTAGAAATAACAATAATGTTATGCATATTAAAAGTAATACTGTAATACTTCTTAATGTAAATAACATCAGGTATAAAGAAGGATAAATGAAACCACTTGTAAAATCCAAAAGCTGTACAACTCTGATTCTATTTCACCATGCTAGGAAGGAGTGTGTAATAGTAACTCATTGATTGGGATAACCCCTAACTCCACTGGACTGTGTGATCTAATCTGAAATGTTGAGATTCACATTCATTATTATTAAGTAAAATTGAATTTACATCCCCTTTTCCAGTGTACAGTGTTGTTGCTTTTTGGGTCATTTAACACTAAAAGCTGTGAACTAGAACGGCTACATGAACTTAACGCTGTTGTAACTATAAAACGACCTCTGTGACCATAAATCTGGTCAAAAACCCCCATAAAACATAATGGTATTAATAACATATTATCTTCTGAGGAACAAGTACATGTTGTGTATGTATGCACCTGTTTCCCTGTTAAGAAAAAACTGAGCATATAGACATGAAGAATAATTGTATACATACTACACACACTGGGTGCATCCCAAATTTTCAGGATAGCACGTAGTTGATCAATATCACAAATACGAGTGGGTTTATTGGAACTGTACACTTTCCTCTTTTCCTGGCCCCACAGTCTGTCAGAGAGTAGAGTCCTCCAACATCAGGCAGACCAGCCTTTAGGCACGCTGAACTGTCCCAAAGGAGCTGTGTCAACATCTAAGGGCTGCCAGAGGAAATCACATTTCAACATTTCCTCTTCTGACCCTTCAAACCGTGCCTGACCCAAGGGACTCCCTGCTTTCCCTCTTACTGCTGTTTTTGTTGTATGTTTACCTTGTATTTTGGATACGTAAGCGCTGCTCAGCTCAGCAGACCCAAGCTCACTGTAAATTAGTAGAGCTGAGAGCAGCTCAATTCTGATGGATCAAGGTGCAGAACAGACTGTAAAGTCCACCCATGTGCACAGGCATGGCCAGACTGGTACCAATACCTAATCTAGCCACATTACAGCTCTTTTTGTATACGTCTATGCTTTGCATAAGACATCTGGATGTTCATATGCCTGCTCTCTTCCCACATGTGCCTCCTCTTTCCTTCAGGGTCCTCCTCCCTTCCCACCTTCCAGGCTTTGCCCCTCACCCTTCTCAGTGCACAGAGACTCTCCACATCAGTCATGATTTACCAAACGTGGAAAGGCACCCTGGCAGCTAGGAAGCCTCACCCTTGCCACAGCTAGGTGTGAGAAGGTGCCACCATCATACATCTCAACTGCAAGGCTGGTTGGGGTTGATGGTCCCCTAGCATTGCTGAATCTCCACATAGAGCATCAACAACCAGAGCTCTCTTCCACAGCCAACATCAAAAAGCACCCAATTTGGTGGACGGGGAGGAGGAAGAGGAGGTTTCCTCATGCACATGCTTACACAGGTCAGCCTGGTGAACTTTGCTTCTTTTGCAATATTTCAATGAAACATCATATTTTCTAACCCCATCCAACCCTGAAATATTTGTAACAAAGTGGGTTAAATGAAGCCTTGTTTCTGCGGCAGGGGCACTGCTAACATTGTGAGCAGTAGTGTAAGTGAGATACAGCAATTTTTAATAGCAAGCTGCTAGACTAATTGTCGGGCAGAGATAAGGGGTATTAAAAAATGTCTCGTCTGACTGATTTTTGGCTAACAGCAGTAACGATATCAGACTACCAGCCCAAAAGCACTGTGACAGAGCTAGTGTAAACCAGCTCTACATGAGCAGATTTACAGGAGCTGTGGAAGATGCTGATCCGACTCCAAGTTAAAAGTGTCTGGGAAATTGTAATGAAGATATATATTCAATCTACTCATACAGCAGGCTGAGTCACTGTGCAGCAATAAATGGCAGACTTGCAATTAATAATTTATCTAGCTGATATTAAATTATATGCTGCAAGAAGACTCTGCAGTTCTAAATACGGCTCCTCATTCAAAAGCTCCTTTGCAAGCAGTGGGAATTAACTCGTTTAAAGAAGATACTAATTTACTACAGGTGGGAAGGAAAGATTCTCATGTGCAGAGTCACCTCCACAGGCAGAAAAACACAGCTCAGACATGAGCAAAATAGATGAAACTAAGCTTCATGCACCCTTCTCACCTGTCTTCAGCCAGCATCTAAGACTCCACAGAACAAGAAACCTACTTGCACAGTCAGCTATTCAATGTAATACAGAGGGGAATTTTTTCCTGACTTCTACAAATAGGTAAAGTCTGCAAGAACACACCATTTTTTTCTTACTGAAAGATTATACTTTCCAGATTTGTAAACGTTAACATCTTAATTAAATATTCTCATAGCTGTTATACAAAATCATTTGTAATAAATGGAATGACATTTTCATTTCAGTCCCAGACACAAAGATGTATCTTCAGATGGACATGTTTCAAAATTCACAAATTTAAAAAAAAAAAAAAAAAAAAAAAAAAAAAAAAAAGTGTATGGTTTAAATCTTATAAATCCTAGCCTGAAATAAACCTAATGGAATATATGAGCTGTTCCCTGCTTTAGCATTCAACAAGTGATTATTCATTATTATTAATTTTTTAGTCTGAACATACAGGGAATGAATGCACAAGAGCAAAACGGAATGGTTTTGCATATAAATGAGATAATTTTTTTATTACATTTACTACTTATATGGATTTGATGGATGAAGTTATGCCGACATCATTTTCTTATATTCATCAAAAAACAGAGTACCAGAATATTAAAAGAGGAAACGTGAACTTCTCTCATATAAAAGCCCTTAGGCCTAGCAATCTCCTACAGCAACATGCAGTTTACAATTCTCTGGATTGTATTGTTTCTCTGTTTAAATGCCAGAAAAGGAGGATGTCTGTTCTGTGGAAGAGATAAGAAAACACTACATCTATTAAGGGTTAACTTTTCTAGGTCCCCAGTGTAATTCTCATTTTTTCATATCTTATCTGCAATTAAAAAAGAGAATATATTTTCTTTTTATTGGTAAATAAGCAGAGTGCCAATGGCAAGACCAGGTTGTATTTTATCTTTTAGTTCTTAAAGTTTATAAAACATATTAAAGGAAAACAGATGGGCCTGTCAGCAGTGGGGTTCCAGAAAACCAGAGAGATATTTGCAAAGTTCAGACAGCATATAAGGTGTGCAACAACTGAAGACAAACCTCACCAAAAAAAGGATAGAAAATTCTCTGACTGTCCTTCATGTTGGCTCAAATTGCAGATTCCTACTGCACCAGGCTGATGCCTGGGGAAGATTGCTACTGATGTGAAAACACGGTTATACCGGAAAATAGAGTTTTAGACTTCTAAGACTTCTATAAACTCCCATTATAGCAGTAGGGGATAAAGAAACTCCAGACGAACAAGGATAAACGCAGATAAATTAGATATTGATGAGAGCAAGCAATGGACAGGTGGCAGGCAGTGAAAGGACCATTTCTAATCTGAGATGTATCAAAAAGAGGGGACAAAAATCCAAGTAATAAATTCAAGGAACTCTTGCAGCTAGAAGCCGTTTTCAAATGCTACATAGATATAAGAAGTACAATGGAATAACTAAAATAACTATAGCACATGAACTGAACTGAATTCGAGGATAGACAGAAATAAGGTCAAGCGTTGGAACACCATTATACATTAACAAAGGGGCAGACTTCCCTCGGAAGAAACAGTCGTACAGAACTGATCAAGTCAAAAGATACTTCCAGGAAAGGATTTCCAAGCAGGGCGTACTGCTGGAGTGTTAAAGGTCCACTTTGATCCACAGGTTCTGTTTCTGAACAGTAAGAGATCTTTGAAACGCCACCAGAGTGCTAAATGCTGCTGAAAGGTACGTGATTCTATGAGACAACAGTGACCCAAACGTCAATCAGGAATAAGTGATTCCCATAAAGTAGGAACCAGAATTTTCTGCGGGTCATAACAGCAGTTTTCAACATCAAATAATCACAGAAGATTACAGCGTCTCCCCTGTGAAGCAGACTGGGGGTTTCTTTAAATCCAAGGTCCAGTAACTGTACACCTGTGCTGTGGAGAATAAAACTGCTCCAGACAAAATTGGAAAAGCCATGACTCAGAAATAAGTGGGCAGAAATGAAGGATGAGAAATGAAGAGCTCTGCATCAGTATGTGCTGGCTACAGGAATGGAGAGAGACATGCTGAAAGACCAGCTGAGTTAGACTAAGGAAGTAAAGATGGTAAGCAAATGGTTATTAGCCAGATGAGTAAAAACAAAGTAGAAGATAAGATCAAGCAAAGATGGTAAGAAAATTGTTATTAGCCAGATGAGTAAAAACAAAGTAGAAGATAAGATCAAGTTGGAGATTAATTTGCCTCAGTTATTATTATACTGATTTTTCCACTGAGGATAATTCTGATAGACAAAGGCACAGCAGAAATGGAAACAGCATCATCTGAAATAAAATCAAAGTTAAAAATGGAAGAACTTGGTAAGATTCATCCCAGGATACTGAAAACTGCATGAGTTAACCGATTCGTTCAGAACCCATTTATAAGCTTATTTGAACAAATTGCTCAATCTGCAGGTAATACCTAGTGGATCAAAATTAGGAGCTAGGATGAAGATGTGGGGTAGAATGATCCAAAATAATTATTATACTGTCTTCAAAGAAAATGTGGTATCTCCTCATCAAAA